GCAGTGAGCAAGGGAAGGTTCATCTGTCACTCGCCATTGCTTACATCACCGCCTGAGCTCCACTTCCTGTCAGATCAGCAGCGGTGTTAGATTCTAGTAGGAGCGTGACCCCTCTATACACTGCACGGGAAGGCTCTAGGTTGCACACTCCTTATGAGAATCCAATGCCTGATGATCATTAGCTAGGGGTTTGACTGCACAGAGACCCTAATAAATCAATTGCTTGCAGATTCTCATCAAAACCACCCCCCCCAGGTCTGTAGAAAAATTTTCTTCCATGAAACCAGCCCCTGGTGCCAGAAAGGTTGGGACCCCTGGTCTAATGTATATCTATAGGTAATGGCAAGTACATGGGTGATTCCTCTGCCCAAGATGACCAATGTAACTGGAATAACAGATAGTAGGGAACTAGTGATTGAATTCATATCAAGTATTATCTCTCTTGGGGAACTGGATTAAGTGTCTAAGGTAAGGCAAGGTGAACATAGCTACTGGGAAGGACGGGATGTAGTGCGTTTTGCACCATCCCCTTTCTTTACGAAAGATGACTAAGAACAGCGAAAACAAAAATGGAACTGGCTTAGACCTCATTTTTATTTTGTAAACTTAGTAACGCAGCCTTAATTTAGAAGAGCCCCAGGCATGTATTTAGTGTAAATATTTAGGAAAAGGCAGGTCTCTCTTTAGAAGACAGTGGGATCAGGTGATCACTCCTCTCTGGCTATGGAACCTTCTGAAATTCTGTGGGAGAGAATTTGCGGAAATGACTATGTAAGTCAGAGTCCCGGTAGGAAGCAGATGGCATACACGCGTTTAATGGCAACAAGCTTAATGTAGAGATTATTATTTGCGGTGGTGTGTGCAGGGTTAAGGGAGCTCGCAAGTAATGGTGAGGCGTAGAAAGCCTATGAGCTCTCTGCCCACCTTACAGCACTGTGTGGAGGGAGACAGAATAAGGCTCCGTATTTCATTCTCTTCCTGCTTTCTGTGCCCACCATTTGCCAGACCCAGCCAGACACCAGCTGGGAAAGAAGCCTGTTGCCAAAGTCCATTGAAGTCAGCCTCCTTTGGCACAGAGCATGACAGGGTAGGGCAGAGAATGGAGCTTGGGGGTGTGAGGAGTAAATAGAAAACAACAGCTCAGCGAGTGTTCTTAGCCACCAGCCCTACCATTGCCCCATGCTCTTTCTGCTTCCCAGGAAGCCCAGGCTTTGCTGCCCTGCGTGGCCGGGTTTCCTAAACACACTGTGAAGTAGTTGGACCCCAGAACGGGGACTGAGAAGGGAAGGGTTCATTCAAGAGACCACTTACACTTGTCACCTTGTAGAAATCCCTTGCAGGCAGGAAATTAGTCAGAACGTTTCCTTCTTTCTAGGGAAAGGGGACCAGATTTACAAGGGCTTTCTCTTCTTGTCAAGAAACCAGGTCTGCAGGGGCTTCTGGTCAAAGTGGGATCTAGTCCCAAGTTCAATTTGAATTCCAATTCCTTCCTGCCTGTGTCAGGTTTCTTTCCTGCCAAGCCTTATTTTTGCATAGATGTCAGGTTCTTTCCACCGCTGCCTGGAGCCTGGAGCAGACTCCTGGAAGCTTTGGGTGCCTCTCTAACTGCGGTTGTCAAGTAGAGGGCTGAAGGAGCGAAGCAAGGACCTCAGAGGCTCTGCAGTTTGTCCCATGCCTGGCTGGCTGTCCTGCTCCCTGCCTGTGGATGCAGGTTTAGTGCTTACCCCTGAGTCCTTTCTGACTCTGGGATCACTTAGATCTTGGGGATGGGATGAGATTGGGGAGGCAATTGATTTGAGCTCACAGTCGATGGTGTATTTCTTAAAGGTCCATTTGGTAAAGACACTCCTTTCAGAACAGAATTTCAGATGGGCAGAAATTGCCCAATTGGCATGTCTTTGTGTCTAGAAGGTTGAAACTTCTACACTTGGTGGAAAGTGCTAAGTCTCTCACATCGCTCTCTAATGTCACCCCGCATCATCCCTGCTCCCCAGGCAAGTAGCCGCATCTATTCACTTATAGTTACTAGTGACCTCCGTGCAATGCGTTCTGCCTTACAGGAGGAAGTGTCCCAAACCGAGGGAGAAGGCTCTGGCCTCCAGGAAAAAGAGTTCTGGCTTCTGCAAGAGCAGGTGGCAATACCAGGTTTTGGTTGCATGAGGGAAAGCCCTGAGAGGAGGAGGGAACAAGGAAGCTTCTAGAAGCAGAGGCTTTATAAACTGTCGAACATGCTGTATCAGGAGGGGTTTTGGCCCCTTCAAAAATGTGCTAGGGACACTTTATTCAGAGTCTGGCATTCACTCTCTGTAGAAATATTAATATGGAGTAGTTTCAGAATTGTATTTCGGGAGCCTGGTAATGGGGAAAAATTGGATGTTTCAAGAAAACTAATAGTGAATGCATTTTGTAAAATATGAAGGGCATCCCACTTGGTGGCTTGAGGGGAAAGGTGTGCTATTTCTAGAACTTACAATCAATCTCCAGCCAGGCCCAGGAAAGCTTGCTTAGTAGATAGGAGGCAGGACCATTCCAAAGAATCATCTCCTCTTTGTGTCCTTGGGTTAAGAGCATTTTCTGAGCTGGAGGGGGGCTTGAGTTGAAGGAGACTTATTACTGGCCTCTCCCTTAGGTGGAGAGAGATATATTTTCAGCTTCAATTTTGTTTTCCATTTACTTCTGAGATGAGGCTCTTCCAGGGTTGATCTCTAAATGCGTGGAACTCCCACTGATCCCTCAAAGCAAACAGCAAATAACCCTTTGTTTGTATGCACACAAATGATGTAGATTTTCATTATACGGAGCTACTGATATGTTAGGAGACAGAAGTAGGGGAAGACAAAATGCTAGATTTTCATGGCAGCACTGTATC